GGGGGGGGGGGGGGGGGGGGGGGAGGAGAAGGAGGTGAGAGAATGCCATATAATGCTAACACCACACTTGCTTGTCATTGTTAAGTACGTGTATTTTGCATTTAACCATCTGTAAAAAAAGCTACAATAAGATGATTTGATCATCTAGTCTCTTGTCATGATATAATACACATTACATGATTTGAAACTTCAAAAGTGTAAAATAGATCTAATTAAAAACCTGTTTGCATCCTTCTGTCTCTACCCTGGATGTTGACTCTTTCAGTACTTTGTATCTCTTATAGGATTCTGGGAACAGTAGCATAGAAAAAGGCACTTTAAGCATCACTAAGTTAAACAAAACTTTATCTGAACCACATGTACAACAAGCTGTTGAGCTGGATGGTAATATTTGACATGGTTGTTTCTACAGTGAGTCCATACACTATAATTATACAGAAGCTCGAAACTTGAAACACAAGCTTTGAAACTTAGTTCTTGATGCTCTTAAACATCAAGTATCAGGTTTTGAGTCAAGACTGTCAACTTACGTTTTGACTGCTACTGTACGACCTTGAGCCATACATTTTCAAATATATGATATTCCCAACCAATGAATGTGCTCAGACCTTTTAAGGTCAATGTCTTTAAGCAACATAATCAAAATATTCCTTGGACTACTAGTCAGGAATCTTGCTTCAACTACTGGACAATTTCCCAAAGGTGATCATTTGGTAAATTCTCATGAGCTCTGTGATGGAGTATGCATTGATGTTACATGGAAAAATTCAAATTTGATCACTCTTAGGTCTTCAAAGGCTCAATTACAAGTAATGCACCCTTGAAATGTACTTTGTAAAGTAACAAACCTTTTATTTCATCTGGACCACTGTTTATGTCATCCTGTAAAAGCAAGTGGCAAAGATAAAGTTAATCCTTTTAACTCCAGCAGATGATTCCATGTATTTTATAAACTCTCCGTACTTAATATTTAGACTATAGTTAAACAGCCAGGTTATTATTATTTTTTAATTTACTAATTTTTCTATTGTACACGTCAGTAAAATTACACACAGATATATTAGTAGGTTAGGAAAATAGGGGACCCTACACTATCATAGAACAAAATAACTAAACTGCAATAAGTCACTTCTGTAAGAAGCCTGTTCCTGCCACCACTACATGCAAGTGGCCTTCATGAAGGCTCTATCCTGAGGGACACAATGTTAGGGAAAGGGGCTAGGAGAGCCTGTATATAGCTGCAAGAATTTGGACTCAAAATAGCAATTGAGGAAATTTAAATCAGGGATTTTTCCCAAAAAACGGCAATTAAATCTTATAAATACCTACAGTATTTCCAAGAAATATCCTTTGAGCATGAAAACTAACATTCTCTTCTACTCTGAGGTAAAGAGAAGGTGATTCTAATTCGTCTAGAACACATGAATGCAAGTTGTTTAGCCTCAAAGTACATGGTTAGTCCCAACCAGATGTCAATAACTTTCATGCTTTACTGTGCATCCTAAAAAGAGCAAATTATGGAGGTTTTGCACCCAATCGAGTTTGCTCCCAGCATTTAATCTTGTCTTCACCCTTGAAAAACAAGAAATAATCTTTTTATCTTCTGGTTGGGGCCTAACTGGTTTGAGACTTATCAACCAGATAGGCCAAATTTGGCTGCAGTGCCAGACTCCCTTAGAGATAGAGCATCAATCATATCTAAATAGCGCACCACGTGAACTTACTCAGACTAACTGAGGTGGAATAAGGAAGTCTAGGAACAATGCAAGCAAAACCCCTTTTCTTATCATAAAAAGCTGAAAATAGAATGCCAGAAAAGGAAAAAAAAACTAAAACTACAACAGACATCAAAATCGAAAAAAGTGTTCGACAGCGATAATTAGGATGGCATTCAGAATTTAAGGACATCTAGGTCCATTTTGTCTGTCCTCTCCCCTGCCTATTCCTCCAGTGGACTACGGTAGGTTATTTTGCCAGAGATCCCTCCCACAGGATCAGGCTTTTAGCCAAATGGGTGTCCAGGCATCCTGTGGACGGCCACTTGTTAATTAAAAGAAAATCGTTTTATTTTTCATATGGTTCCTTACAAATTGTCCATTTGAGCAGGCACTATAGCGCATAATTTTTGAACGACCATTTTTCAAATCCTGGCTAAAAGCCTGCATGGGATACCCCAGGAAGTTGCCGCTTAGTTTTGTCTTTCCAAATGCAAAATGCAAAACCCTCCCAACAAAATAAAACTTTTACTATTCTATAGCCAAAAAAATCCAAGTAAGGCCGTACAAACAGGTCACATGCATCGATGATCGACCGGCGCCGTCACTTCCTCTTGAAATGTCTTGCAAGTTCCAACTCTTCCACAAGATCAGAATTACAAGTCAACTTTATTTAATTATCCTCAGTTTAATAACCTACCTTGTTGGGTTTACGGCCATGTGTTCGTTCAAACATGTTTTCCCAGCATTTCAGCTCTCGTTTGAGGGTTGATAGCTCTTTCATGGCTTCTATCAAGAATGAAAGAAATTTGTCTGTCTAAAACTTTCGCCCGCTATTTATAAAATTAAGCTTATGCAAAGCTGAGCTTGCAGACGTATTTTTTCTGCTTTGCAAAACGTAATAGGGCAAACAAATTATCGCTTTACTTACTTGTTCCAATCATGTCTGCAGCGTCGACTATTTTGTTCTTATTGAGTCGTTTCGAAGCGACAGAATGAAGAATTTGTTCACGTCCGCCATAGATATCGTCACTCCTGGCTTGCTTTGTTCCACTTTGTAACCTTCCCGCCAAGAACAAAGAAGACGAGTCCTGGGTACTAGCGCCTACTGTTGCATTGGAGGGAGGGGCTGCTGGGGGATCTTTCGCGAATCGAAGGAACAGAAATTTGTTGTTTATTGTACCGTTAAATACAATAGAGGTAAAGGATGCTTTAGAGAATGACCTAAAGTTAGAAGATCTATCTTAGCCTCGCTCAGAATTGCCATCAGATGGCTCATCGTCTACGGCATTACTGATATACAGTGAGCTATCCGTGGAAGACGTAAAAAGCTACACCCTCTTTTTCTTATATAAGAATATTGTTTTTCCGGCCGAGGCTTATCATTCCTATTTTTCTGCCAAAATATTCTTGTGAACATTCTTAGATTATAGCGTATGACATTCCGTCTTCCAATGTATTTGGTGTCTGGATGGTGTTAAAGTAATTTTGGAGGTAGTCTGAGTGCAATTCAGGGAGTAGTCGGGCGAGTAATTTCAAAATCAGACGAGCGCAGCACGAGCCGGACAACCATTTTGCTAATTCTAGCTCCAGTCCCTTGTGGGGGCAAAATTTGATCTATTTAATGAATTAATGAGGCCATTTTTGGCCGACTGATCACTTCTCGCCCCCACATGAGAACGGAACTAAGAAATTTTTGCATAAGCAAAATGGCCTATTAGTAGCACGATTAGATAACTTTAATTGGGTATCCACGTGATCATGGGGCAATTACATTTTAAGTAGGCGCGCGGAAAACCAATCATAATCGAGAGTTTTGCTATAGATCGTACGATTTGGCTTTTTACTGTCTCAGAACTGAAATTTTAAGACGTAAGAACAGATGTACATAGCATATCGAAACTCTGATCTCTTCTATCTATATCAAATAACTCAAAATACAGTCTTTCATTTTATATAGCTTTACATATGATTACACCAGAAGCTTTCTGATTACACGCACTGACATGTCGACACTGTTCACACCAAAAATAAAAAGTGGAACAAAGTGTATAACTGTGATTGAATTATGCTATTCCGTTTCCGTTAGTCACGATCTTACACATTAAAATATTAAATTGAATACTGTTCGCTGTACAACGTGCCTTTTGCAGCATCTAAAGCGCAAGGCACTTCGAGTTGACTGCTTTTGTTCCCGATGACTGTATCTGTGTTGAAACTCCAACTGTATGATCATAAACAACTTGTCATTTACGTCACGTTTATGTTACCTAATGCAAGTTACAGATGACACAATTTTTCATTAGCATTCACTTATTTATAAAGAGAAGATGGCCCCAGCAGTTCGTCCAGCACACGGGCTAAGTGAGTGTTCTCGTAACTTTCTTCACTCCGTTTCTCCTTACTTGCAGTTGACTCATTTTTATTAGATGAAATTTGCTCGTTGCTTTTGCCCATAAAGACGTTCGCTACAACACCTTCGCTGCTTGAATTGTGAGAAGCCCTTGTTGCCAATCCTTCGCCGAAAGATTCGGGTCCAGTGTTTTTCGCGCTGCCCAGCTGAGGTAAGTGCAATTCTCTCCGTTGTATTTGGATGTCTCTTTTCCTACGCGATGGTAGAATGACCCCAGAAACGTCAGGAATGCATTCGTGCCACACTTTGAGATACTTGGACCCACTTGGAACACTTTCCAAGAATGGCATGTTGGCTTCCACCTCGCAAGTTTGCTGCTTTGCACAGCGCTTCCTTATTTGGTCAGTTACTTGACTTGAGTCTGCGTCTGCGATCAGCGGTAGAGAAGATAAATCGGCAGACGTCGAGTTAGCGCATGTCACGGAGTTGCTTCCTCCCCAACGAGCTTGCGTTACTTTGACTCGTTTGCCAGCGTTGCATTGCAGTAACGCTCGTTTACCAGCGCACACCACTGTCACGTTCTGCGGAAATGAGAATTTACATGAAGTCCTTACCTCCAGCCCTTATGGTAACGGTTCGGCAAATTCAGTTGCTAACTGCGGTACACCCACTTGTGTCAGGCAAACGAAATGATATGTTATAATATGGGAGTTAAGCCGTCGCTTCGTTTATCCCTGTTAGAACTGGATACCATATCAAAAATTAACTTGAAAAGGAGATTACCTTGGGGAAAAGGCAAATATGGGGAATTAACTCTCTTATTCTTCATTATTCCTTGCCATTAGAATTTCCAAAACTAAAGTGAACTTCGAACGGAAGGAGACCATGTCAAGGAACCCTCAAAACTAACTACTCTCACCATTCTGGTAAATTACTATTTTTACCACAATTGCTACTAATCGCGCGATCTGATTGGTTAATTTGCCGTTGTCGATAAGAGTTCAGACAACGCTGCTCGCGTCAATGTGTCACGCTCTTGGTCAAGCTCTGAAGAAAACATTTTCTTTGACGTTGATATTGTGGAAAAAACAAATCGAATGCGGTTTGGCGTTGTCTGTACTCTTATCGACAAAGATATGCGTCATCACAGCGGTCACTGCGCCTCGTGAGTCCACAATATTCGATTTGTATTTTACCACAATATCAACGTCAAAGAAAACGTTTTTTCAGAGCACCAACAAAACGTATTTCAAATTGATTATCCCAAGAGCCCTTAAAAATAACTTTAGACATGACGGTCAAGGTTATCGCTTGCTGTTTCCTTGTCAGTGGGCGGAATAAGGTGTAAAGGATGGGTATTCCAGCCATTTACCAGTTCAACCTACCGTTTGGACATTATACAAAGGTGTGAATATGTCCGTGGTAATCTTCCACATTGGATATCCGGGATATCCTGGCATTCCAACCTGTCCTGGAAGGCCCCCGAATCCTGCCCCTCCTTTCAACCCCGGGGGCCCCGGGGGCCCCGGAGGCCCGGGTGGACCAGGCGGGCCAGGTGGACCAAACCTCCCAGGGGGACCGGGCCATCCTGGCATGCCAGGGGAACCTGCAAGTCCCATGCTCCCTACGGGGCCTTTTGGTCCGGGAGGTCCCTGCGGCCCCGCTACACCCTTGATAAAAAATCCCATGGAAATGTCTTGGTTGAGAAGGTCGAATGTTTGTATGGAATTCAGAATTTCCTGGGTGACTTCCTCACCAAGTCTGGGCCATTGCTCTCTCGGAATATGAACGAGCTAAAAATAAAGAGAAGACATTAATAAAAATAACATCAAGCAAGCAAGCAAGCAAGGTTTAAATTTCGGGAAAAAGCTACCAGGAAAGCAGTAAGGAACCTCATTATTTAATGACATCAAATATACAGCCTGCCAATATGGTCCCCTCACGCTACCCGTAGGTCCAACGAGTGTTCTACGAACGTGTCTCTCGCGGGATACGCTCGTGTGCGCGATATAAGAGAGACGGGTATACAAGCAGGTATGAACAGGTTTGGAATTCCGCTTGGGTCAAAGGAAGAAAAGATGGGAACGAACTGTACGTTGTTTCATTTCTAAAGAATTGCTCTTTTTAAAATAGATATTCCTGTATCTTGGATTTATCAATTCAAGTTTAAAAACGTTGCAAGACACAAGAGAGTTCACTTGTCTTCTGTTTTGGCGGCTTTGATATGTATGCATAATTTAGGAGTACAGATAAACTGGGGCAGGTTCTTGAATTGCAGTGACATCGTAAAGGGCAAACTTGATGGTTACTCTAATTAAGTCTTCCTTTTAACATTTGAATCTGTAAAATAAACCTCGTACTCGAAAATGTATCAAATTATCGCTAAGGCCTTTCACAAAAGCGATATCTTAAAAAAAAACACTTGTTTTACTAACCTTTACACCAACAACCAGTTGCAAAAACAAAATCACCCTGAAATGTTCCATGGTGGTTTGATCTCTGAGAGCAAAATAAAAGTATTTAAAATGACTGTATAGAACTCGGTAGAAATATTACTTTAAATCAAATCAGCCTTTCATTCCTTTTTAGGGGTTTATACGATTCCCGAGTTTTGAGAGTTTTGTCAGATTTAAGTTGCTTTATAAAAATTGTACGATTTAACGACTATAAGTTCATAGCTTGTACTGTGATAACGACAAGCGCTAGAACTAAAATTCTAATTTATACTGACGATTTAATGCATGTCGAATTCAGTAAAATGTTTTCGTTTCAATAAGGGATCAATGCGGGGTTTCAACTTTAAAATGTTTTTGCTTAGCAATAACGATGTTTAGAAAGTTCGTATTGGCATAATTAACTATAACGTAAGGTTGGGAAGAAATACTCCTTTGGTAGTTTAATTCGAAATTATATTGACTCGCGATTACAAATTTTCGTGGAATGCGACGTTCACTTTACTAATACCAGACGATTGATTTTTAACGCTCGCAAAAAAATTGCCTTTACAGATTTTTGGAAGGCGCTGTAGCGCTCTCTCTACCGTTTGATCAAGGCCACGAATAAACCTTAACAAATGAAGCTACTAGAGAACATTTGGTACTTACCCGATTTGGAATGAAAATGTCAAAACTACACCATGTTCAAGTGAACTCTCTGTCCGCGGTAAAACTCTAAAGTTCGACAGTAAATAGTAGTTACCGTCAGTTGATATTTAGAATGTGTTTTAAACGAGATCCACAAATCTTCGCGGGTAACGAGTCTATGACGTCATTGCCAAGTTGCCACCAAGTTGTTTATAAAATGTATGCTCGCGACAGACAGGACGGCCTAGGGGGAAGCCTGCAAGGAGACAAACGTTTAGAGCTTTTCTGGCCAAACATCATGATTGATATGCAAAGTTCAGAGTCTCCAACTTTAAGTTACCTCGCCTTCTCTGACCGCGATAAGCAACGAGGGTAATTTAGGAATCGTGATAGTCTATTCCCTGGTAATAAAGATTTCAATTGCCACTTTGCTATCACTCTTCTCGCTCCGCCCTCGACACTCCTCCATAGGGAAACTGCAAGGTCTGACTCAGCACTTATGCGGCCAGCAATTAATTTTCATAGAAAAGGTAAAAAAAGAAAGCTAAATTGAACGTCTGTAATCACTTCCCACTATAAAGACTAAGTTGAACTAATAACGTCACATAAGGTAAAGTCCATGTCGGGCTAAGCGGCCCATACAGGCGGAACTTATCCTGTTTTCTAAGGTATTAAGCGACTAAGTCCATCAAAGGGCTACCCCGTACATGATATTTTGCCAGTACCTATTTATAAACCTGAGTGAGCAAGAACAGAACNATGTGTTCGTTCAAACATGTTTTCCCAGCATTTCAGCTCTCGTTTGAGGGTTGATAGCTCTTTCATGGCTTCTATCAAGAATGAAAGAAATTTGTCTGTCTAAAACTTTCGCCCGCTATTTATAAAATTAAGCTTATGCAAAGCTGAGCTTGCAGACGTATTTTTTCTGCTTTGCAAAACGTAATAGGGCAAACAAATTATCGCTTTACTTACTTGTTCCAATCATGTCTGCAGCGTCGACTATTTTGTTCTTATTGAGTCGTTTCGAAGCGACAGAATGAAGAATTTGTTCACGTCCGCCATAGATATCGTCACTCCTGGCTTGCTTTGTTCCACTTTGTAACCTTCCCGCCAAGAACAAAGAAGACGAGTCCTGGGTACTAGCGCCTACTGTTGCATTGGAGGGAGGGGCTGCTGGGGGATCTTTCGCGAATCGAAGGAACAGAAATTTGTTGTTTATTGTACCGTTAAATACAATAGAGGTAAAGGATGCTTTAGAGAATGACCTAAAGTTAGAAGATCTATCTTAGCCTCGCTCAGAATTGCCATCAGATGGCTCATCGTCTACGGCATTACTGATATACAGTGAGCTATCCGTGGAAGACGTAAAAAGCTACACCCTCTTTTTCTTATATAAGAATATTGTTTTTCCGGCCGAGGCTTATCATTCCTATTTTTCTGCCAAAATATTCTTGTGAACATTCTTAGATTATAGCGTATGACATTCCGTCTTCCAATGTATTTGGTGTCTGGATGGTGTTAAAGTAATTTTGGAGGTAGTCTGAGTGCAATTCAGGGAGTAGTCGGGCGAGTAATTTCAAAATCAGACGAGCGCAGCACGAGCCGGACAACCATTTTGCTAATTCTAGCTCCAGTCCCTTGTGGGGGCAAAATTTGATCTATTTAATGAATTAATGAGGCCATTTTTGGCCGACTGATCACTTCTCGCCCCCACATGAGAACGGAACTAAGAAATTTTTGCATAAGCAAAATGGCCTATTAGTAGCACGATTAGATAACTTTAATTGGGTATCCACGTGATCATGGGGCAATTACATTTTAAGTAGGCGCGCGGAAAACCAATCATAATCGAGAGTTTTGCTATAGATCGTACGATTTGGCTTTTTACTGTCTCAGAACTGAAATTTTAAGACGTAAGAACAGATGTACATAGCATATCGAAACTCTGATCTCTTCTATCTATATCAAATAACTCAAAATACAGTCTTTCATTTTATATAGCTTTACATATGATTACACCAGAAGCTTTCTGATTACACGCACTGACATGTCGACACTGTTCACACCAAAAATAAAAAGTGGAACAAAGTGTATAACTGTGATTGAATTATGCTATTCCGTTTCCGTTAGTCACGATCTTACACATTAAAATATTAAATTGAATACTGTTCGCTGTACAACGTGCCTTTTGCAGCATCTAAAGCGCAAGGCACTTCGAGTTGACTGCTTTTGTTCCCGATGACTGTATCTGTGTTGAAACTCCAACTGTATGATCATAAACAACTTGTCATTTACGTCACGTTTATGTTACCTAATGCAAGTTACAGATGACACAATTTTTCATTAGCATTCACTTATTTATAAAGAGAAGATGGCCCCAGCAGTTCGTCCAGCACACGGGCTAAGTGAGTGTTCTCGTAACTTTCTTCACTCCGTTTCTCCTTACTTGCAGTTGACTCATTTTTATTAGATGAAATTTGCTCGTTGCTTTTGCCCATAAAGACGTTCGCTACAACACCTTCGCTGCTTGAATTGTGAGAAGCCCTTGTTGCCAATCCTTCGCCGAAAGATTCGGGTCCAGTGTTTTTCGCGCTGCCCAGCTGAGGTAAGTGCAATTCTCTCCGTTGTATTTGGATGTCTCTTTTCCTACGCGATGGTAGAATGACCCCAGAAACGTCAGGAATGCATTCGTGCCACACTTTGAGATACTTGGACCCACTTGGAACACTTTCCAAGAATGGCATGTTGGCTTCCACCTCGCAAGTTTGCTGCTTTGCACAGCGCTTCCTTATTTGGTCAGTTACTTGACTTGAGTCTGCGTCTGCGATCAGCGGTAGAGAAGATAAATCGGCAGACGTCGAGTTAGCGCATGTCACGGAGTTGCTTCCTCCCCAACGAGCTTGCGTTACTTTGACTCGTTTGCCAGCGTTGCATTGCAGTAACGCTCGTTTACCAGCGCACACCACTGTCACGTTCTGCGGAAATGAGAATTTACATGAAGTCCTTACCTCCAGCCCTTATGGTAACGGTTCGGCAAATTCAGTTGCTAACTGCGGTACACCCACTTGTGTCAGGCAAACGAAATGATATGTTATAATATGGGAGTTAAGCCGTCGCTTCGTTTATCCCTGTTAGAACTGGATACCATATCAAAAATTAACTTGAAAAGGAGATTACCTTGGGGAAAAGGCAAATATGGGGAATTAACTCTCTTATTCTTCATTATTCCTTGCCATTAGAATTTCCAAAACTAAAGTGAACTTCGAACGGAAGGAGACCATGTCAAGGAACCCTCAAAACTAACTACTCTCACCATTCTGGTAAATTACTATTTTTACCACAATTGCTACTAATCGCGCGATCTGATTGGTTAATTTGCCGTTGTCGATAAGAGTTCAGACAACGCTGCTCGCGTCAATGTGTCACGCTCTTGGTCAAGCTCTGAAGAAAACATTTTCTTTGACGTTGATATTGTGGAAAAAACAAATCGAATGCGGTTTGGCGTTGTCTGTACTCTTATCGACAAAGATATGCGTCATCACAGCGGTCACTGCGCCTCGTGAGTCCACAATATTCGATTTGTATTTTACCACAATATCAACGTCAAAGAAAACGTTTTTTCAGAGCACCAACAAAACGTATTTCAAATTGATTATCCCAAGAGCCCTTAAAAATAACTTTAGACATGACGGTCAAGGTTATCGCTTGCTGTTTCCTTGTCAGTGGGCGGAATAAGGTGTAAAGGATGGGTATTCCAGCCATTTACCAGTTCAACCTACCGTTTGGACATTATACAAAGGTGTGAATATGTCCGTGGTAATCTTCCACATTGGATATCCGGGATATCCTGGCATTCCAACCTGTCCTGGAAGGCCCCCGAATCCTGCCCCTCCTTTCAACCCCGGGGGCCCCGGGGGCCCCGGAGGCCCGGGTGGACCAGGCGGGCCAGGTGGACCAAACCTCCCAGGGGGACCGGGCCATCCTGGCATGCCAGGGGAACCTGCAAGTCCCATGCTCCCTACGGGGCCTTTTGGTCCGGGAGGTCCCTGCGGCCCCGCTACACCCTTGATAAAAAATCCCATGGAAATGTCTTGGTTGAGAAGGTCGAATGTTTGTATGGAATTCAGAATTTCCTGGGTGACTTCCTCACCAAGTCTGGGCCATTGCTCTCTCGGAATATGAACGAGCTAAAAATAAAGAGAAGACATTAATAAAAATAACATCAAGCAAGCAAGCAAGCAAGGTTTAAATTTCGGGAAAAAGCTACCAGGAAAGCAGTAAGGAACCTCATTATTTAATGACATCAAATATACAGCCTGCCAATATGGTCCCCTCACGCTACCCGTAGGTCCAACGAGTGTTCTACGAACGTGTCTCTCGCGGGATACGCTCGTGTGCGCGATATAAGAGAGACGGGTATACAAGCAGGTATGAACAGGTTTGGAATTCCGCTTGGGTCAAAGGAAGAAAAGATGGGAACGAACTGTACGTTGTTTCATTTCTAAAGAATTGCTCTTTTTAAAATAGATATTCCTGTATCTTGGATTTATCAATTCAAGTTTAAAAACGTTGCAAGACACAAGAGAGTTCACTTGTCTTCTGTTTTGGCGGCTTTGATATGTATGCATAATTTAGGAGTACAGATAAACTGGGGCAGGTTCTTGAATTGCAGTGACATCGTAAAGGGCAAACTTGATGGTTACTCTAATTAAGTCTTCCTTTTAACATTTGAATCTGTAAAATAAACCTCGTACTCGAAAATGTATCAAATTATCGCTAAGGCCTTTCACAAAAGCGATATCTTAAAAAAAAACACTTGTTTTACTAACCTTTACACCAACAACCAGTTGCAAAAACAAAATCACCCTGAAATGTTCCATGGTGGTTTGATCTCTGAGAGCAAAATAAAAGTATTTAAAATGACTGTATAGAACTCGGTAGAAATATTACTTTAAATCAAATCAGCCTTTCATTCCTTTTTAGGGGTTTATACGATTCCCGAGTTTTGAGAGTTTTGTCAGATTTAAGTTGCTTTATAAAAATTGTACGATTTAACGACTATAAGTTCATAGCTTGTACTGTGATAACGACAAGCGCTAGAACTAAAATTCTAATTTATACTGACGATTTAATGCATGTCGAATTCAGTAAAATGTTTTCGTTTCAATAAGGGATCAATGCGGGGTTTCAACTTTAAAATGTTTTTGCTTAGCAATAACGATGTTTAGAAAGTTCGTATTGGCATAATTAACTATAACGTAAGGTTGGGAAGAAATACTCCTTTGGTAGTTTAATTCGAAATTATATTGACTCGCGATTACAAATTTTCGTGGAATGCGACGTTCACTTTACTAATACCAGACGATTGATTTTTAACGCTCGCAAAAAAATTGCCTTTACAGATTTTTGGAAGGCGCTGTAGCGCTCTCTCTACCGTTTGATCAAGGCCACGAATAAACCTTAACAAATGAAGCTACTAGAGAACATTTGGTACTTACCCGATTTGGAATGAAAATGTCAAAACTACACCATGTTCAAGTGAACTCTCTGTCCGCGGTAAAACTCTAAAGTTCGACAGTAAATAGTAGTTACCGTCAGTTGATATTTAGAATGTGTTTTAAACGAGATCCACAAATCTTCGCGGGTAACGAGTCTATGACGTCATTGCCAAGTTGCCACCAAGTTGTTTATAAAATGTATGCTCGCGACAGACAGGACGGCCTAGGGGGAAGCCTGCAAGGAGACAAACGTTTAGAGCTTTTCTGGCCAAACATCATGATTGATATGCAAAGTTCAGAGTCTCCAACTTTAAGTTACCTCGCCTTCTCTGACCGCGATAAGCAACGAGGGTAATTTAGGAATCGTGATAGTCTATTCCCTGGTAATAAAGATTTCAATTGCCACTTTGCTATCACTCTTCTCGCTCCGCCCTCGACACTCCTCCATAGGGAAACTGCAAGGTCTGACTCAGCACTTATGCGGCCAGCAATTAATTTTCATAGAAAAGGTAAAAAAAGAAAGCTAAATTGAACGTCTGTAATCACTTCCCACTATAAAGACTAAGTTGAACTAATAACGTCACATAAGGTAAAGTCCATGTCGGGCTAAGCGGCCCATACAGGCGGAACTTATCCTGTTTTCTAAGGTATTAAGCGACTAAGTCCATCAAAGGGCTACCCCGTACATGATATTTTGCCAGTACCTATTTATAAACCTGAGTGAGCAAGAACAGAACACAAAGACCCCGGCAAGGGCTTAAACTTGAACCACTCGATTCAGAGTCTAGCGCTAACCATTGGATACACTAGCCCGCGTTTTTCCCGCCTGCAGAATCCTGATTGATTAATTTAAATTCCAGGCGCGCCGGCCGTATGCAAGGATAGAAAGCGTTCCCCTGCGAAGAGCTACGCTCCAATTTGCGCGCCGGAAAGCTTGCTATACGGGTTATAGGCCCTCACGATAACGTCACACGCAGGCCAAGAATTTGAAAGAGCAGAGAAAAGAGAATTGTAATCGAAAACCAAGGCAACCATAACTGGCCAACCACAGCGCGTGCAACTGCCACAATGGACCAATTAGAACTCTTTGTAGGTCCTTAGCATTATTTTCAAGCGCGGGAAAAGTTTGTTTGATTTTGCATCTGATTACCTGAGAAAACGATATGTTTGTCGTTTTGGTTGCATGGCATATACTTCCGAAACTAATTACACTTATCAAATTGACTTCAATTTTTTATGCGTCTGTCCTGTTATTGATCATGAATTTCGTCATAATATTCTCCAAGTAGCTGTGCATCCACGAGGCGAATTACAAATTCACCAATGAGCGCACGAGAATTTCTGCATTCATTGTAAAAACACATTTCGAGCCAGTCACCTGAGGACTTAAAACGTAAAACCAAAGAAGACAGAAACTGCTTTTGACAAAGGACTGAAACCAGCGGTAACGAATGAAATGGGAGCTGCCGAACGATAACTACAGGAACAAAGTGAGCTCCCCCCCCCCTTCATTGAGGGAAGATTTACTCACTTGGCAAGTAGGAGACTAGGAACACAGCGGGATTAAAGTTCCTTAATTTAAAATCATGTTAGGACGAATTGCTGAATGGTATAGATCACCCTAAATGATTCCCACTGTGAAATTTTCTTTCCTAACAGTGAAAAGTGTGGAAAACATGTCACAACAAACTTGAACCGTGACGTGTTAACGGCTGTCGACGGGGGCATAAATTATAAAGACCAGTCTTTCATCTACATCTACATTCATAATCTGCAAACGGATTAAACCTATCACTGCAGATATGAAAGAAAAAAAACGGAAATAAATGTAACTAAATCAATTTTGGGATAAAAATAAGAGATGAGACTGGCCCTACACGCCTCAACACTCCGTTGGTCTATAACTTAGACTTGTTGCTTCGTGTTTAATTTAAATACCAGCTGGCTTTGTTAGTGGAGAAGTGGTACCATAAACTGTCATATGTCAATTCAAATTTTGGCCAATTTGCGACTGTTTTCAATTAACAGTACAGTGGAGCTACGCCAGCTGAGGCCATAATTTTTCCGTTGGGCCGAATTAAGAGGACTGAGGGGAGGGGGGGGGGCATGTACTGAGTCATAAAATACCCCTAGCCATCCTAAGACCTACAATCCCGGCCAAAAGTAGTTGGGACACTTGAGCTGTATCACGTATCCCCCTTCCCCCCTAATCAATGTTGG